ATGTAAATTGATTTGACTTGTTCTCTCATTCTTGATTGAATAAGAGATTAAGGGGATTAATGTAACTCCTGCTAATATATAAAGTTTAGCTGAGTAACCTTTTAAGAAAGTTGATTTGATAAAGAAGAGGACAAGCATTCCAAGAAAGAACCATGTACCATCAGTCGTGGAGTCCTCTTTAGCTCTGCTAATCCACTTGCAAACTGAATCCTGTTGCCATCCATGAAATCTATTACAAATCTCTACAAGAGTACCTGGAAGATGGCTTATGTTGAASTTCTTTAGTACAGTGTTTGGCATGTGGTAAGTTTCTGAAGATGATTGCATGGTTGTCTTTCAAGATACCACACACCTACTTTAGAAATAATTCCTARTTTTGATCCAGGGAATTCATATGCAGGCTATGTATGAGACAGAAARCAAAGGTTAACATTTGATTCATTTTGATTCCTTTGCTATTCTGAAGAGCTATATTTCAATGAGGTTGAGAATGGAGGAATAAATTAAGATATTCCCTACCTTTYAGAGAATCTCAGTGAAATATTTATCATGAAGCAAGATGATTTCTGGGGTTCCTTTTAAAGTAATCTGATGGGAAGGGAGTAAAGTGGGAGAAAGGATAGAGTAACAGCCTGACCATGAATTGATCATGTTTGAAGCTTGGTCATAGGTGTTACCATAAATGATAACAGCTGAATCTTTAGCTGAATAGAATTTTCTGACCCAAAGTCATGMATGCCCTACACGTCTAACCAGTCACTAATTGATGGTAAGAGGACACAAAGGCCTGATTTTCTTTCCCTATATTTGTGATAACTCTAAAGGACTATCTCAGTTGCACAGTTTCCCATGGAATTGACTGAGGCCTTTGTCATGATTACATCACAGTTCAAATTCCCCCTCTTTCTAATCTTGTTCCCTTATTGTGTCCTAAGTATTGTGCCATTGTATATGATCTCAGTGGCATGCTGGCAAATGCCTAACAGCCATCTCTCCAGATCCTTGATTCATACCATTTTCCAGTTTCTATGGTGTAAATACACCCACTGTGGCTAATTTTGTGCTCTCAATGCAATGCCACTGAAGGAGGAGTTGGAAAGAGATGTGCTCAGTTGGTTCTCATGAGTGTGTAAGCCTGCCCCTATCAGCCCTACCAGTTTTCCCCAGTGAAATTCCTAAATGCAGATCTCCACCTCAGTCWTTTTATTTTCAGGGTAACCTAAACTAAATCAACAACAACAAAATCATTGATTATTTTTTTATACTGTAAATTTGGTGATTTGTTTATTCAAGAAACTAATATTTCACAGACAGAATGAAGTAAAATTGGTCACTTCAAAGGTTTCAGTGAAACACATCACACACACCCACCCACACACACACACACACACACACACACACACACACACCGGCCATGTACTGTACATCATAACACTAATATCCCACAATAATTGCTTAGAAAAATTTGAGATATGATCTCCTTTTAATTTCCTAAAGACTACACAGCTGGGTAGGCTCTGAGAGAACAAACTTCAAAAATGTCCTTCTTACAGTTTTGAGACCAGGAAAAAGTGCAAAGCATTCACCACATGATGTTCTCATCGCCATTATTACAATTGTTATTACTGCTGTAAATCAAAGTTTATATTTAACAGAGTGCAGGTTTCATCATCAGAACTTAGGCTTTTAAATCAAGAGTAATCCATTTACGTATTTGCTATCTTTGAAGAAAAATACAGAGGCATACTGCATGTTTGAGAAACCGTTAAGAATTTCACCCTGCTGAGGAGCTATTGTTGGAATAAATAAATAATCAGGTTGAGGGTTTTTTTTTAAGATAGGAAGAAAAAATAGGAAAAAAAGAAGATATCACACTCAAGGAAACAAGGTGATGAAAAGAGAAAAAAAACATCTTGTAAATATTGATGCAAAAGAAAACTGGAGAAGGAATTTGGCCCCAAAGCATGGCATATTATTTTTCACGACTGGGTTCATTTTTGTAAAAAGAAAAGTAACTTAGAGAATGGGAAGAAAATGTTCCATTGAGGAGAAAAGGGTGGCCATAGAATAAATTCACTTTTGTATAAGCATCTTTAAATATTAACAGAAAATCAGAATRAAGTTCCAGTTATGTTATTAGAGCCAACTGGTCTACCAAAACCTCCAATAATGGTTCCTAATTCTGGCATGTTTTAGAATCACCTGAGAAGGCTTATTAAAATGTAGATTCCTGGGCACCACAGCTATTTGATTTCATKGAAGTCTGGTGTGGGGCCCAGGGATCTGTACATTAACAAGCCTCCTAGTAAATTCTGAAACCTGCGGTCTTTGTCAAATCAAAACATGCTAAAAGGTTCTATGGCCAAATATCCACAATGCCATCATTCCAAGTTAATATTAGCAGTGAGTCTATGCCATTTCCTTATTGTGCAAAGGTGTCCTTATTAAATACGAGTCTGAAACCTTTGGCTTCTGCTTCTCTGAAGGTTATCTTCCAGAACAACATTTTCCATCCCTCTATCATCCAATCAGATTCTCTTCTTTATACCTTTTTGCTCATTTCTTCTGCAAAGGAAAGACACATTTGTGTATGTGTGTGTGTGTGTGTGTGTGTGTGTGTGTGTGTGCATTCAAATATGAGTGTTGGGGATGCAAAACATTATAAATCTTTTAGAAAATTCTTTCTCCCAATGGACCCAAACTCTGATGCAGTTATCAAGGCTCAATAATCCTTACTGAATTGAAATCATGGTCTTATTAACCTATCAGTAGAGGACTCAGCTCATGAAAATAAAAAATTTCTCATTATTCATAATCACCCTCTCAATCAACCTTTTCCTCTTACATTGCTAGYTCTATGAGTCAGGGTCTCTTCTGGTGTACTCTAGAAGCATTCCACTTGGGTTAGAGTTGTTATTGTAAGTGTATATTCAGCACAGGCTCTCTGATAGAAATAGGTCTTTTCTCTTGTATCTGGGAATGTATTAAATTGTCCAGGACTCTTGGATCTTAATGAAAAGGAACTATTCTCCCTGCCCCACATTCCAGGTGAGTAATAAATTAGACTCAGGTTTCTCCATGAAAGTTCTAAGGGTAGATATTTCTGCTGACAAAGACACCTGTTCATCTAGGGGCTTAAAACTCAAAGGTTAGGTGTGAAGGCATATGTGAAGATCCCAGACAGATATAGAAAAAAGGGGTATGTTTATTGCTTTGTTATATGTTAGGGAAGGCCTACATGTCTGACTGCTCTCCTCACCTCTTGTGTCCTTTATAGAACTTCAGAATTGTCAGACATTCTGGACAACTCACTAGGAACAATGTCATTCAAATGCATATTTTAAAAAGGCCTACATGTCTCTTTTCTTTGCACATTTATATGACATATGCTTTCACTGCACAAATAATGCTGCACCAGTTCATTGAGAGGGTTGGAATTCGTTATCAAAACCAATCCTTGGATGAAGCAACTGAATTTTCAGAACTTCCTTTTTTTTCTTCCATCGMTAACATTAACCATTCATGAGGAACTTCCTCACCATGATTCACTTTTAAACTGATGAACCCACTGGGGGTTATAATTCATAAAAAGCTTTCCATGCCGATCACCTTTTTCCTTGAACGAGCTTTGAGCATCGGGGCGTATTTCTCCACCAACACTGGTGCTGCGGGTTGAGTTTCTATCTCAGCGCACAGCTTGAAAGCTTGGGCCCATCTGTGTCACACAAAGCCAGATCTCTCTTGAAGTGATTTGTTTACAGTGTCATTTGATGGAGTGGAATGTTCTGTAACTCATTCGAACTGTTACAGAAGCTTGGCTAAAAGGTCACCACTGCTCTTTAGAGTTTCCAAATCTGGGCACCATCTGGGAGCTTGTTAAAGATAAGGTTTTCCACTGGTTTTTTCCATACCAACTAGATCCAATTAGCAAAGGACTAATTTTTCAAAGAAGAATATGTTCATATTGTATGTGTGTGTGTGTAAGAGAGAGGGTAGAGAGAGAGAACGAGAGAGTAAACAAATAAATTACAGTTAGTTGCTTGAACTTGTGCAGGCCCACCTTGCAYCCCATCTGAGTATATGTGCCAAATTTACAGTATTATTTAATAGGCCTGAAGGGGTGTGGCAGCCTTGAAGGGGATGAGAGAATTCAATGTTAAATGTCCTTCTTGAATCAATACATTGTTCAAGTGTAGTCTTGGGAGTCAGTTCTAAAGGAGATTGAATCTTACCTTTTACTCAGAATTCAACAGGAAAATGGCACGTTATTCCTTAAAGTAATAAAGGCTGTGCATGCTAAACATTCACTCTGTATGGCACAAGCAATATTGGAGTAGTTATAATTTTACAGTTCTAGTCTAGGCCTAAAGTTGGCTGTGCTTGCTTTCTGTGCCCTTCTTTATGATACAAGAGTCTTGAATTTTCCCAACCTCAAAAACTCAGCTGTAAAACCATAGAAGGGCAAGAGGAAAAGGAAAAGTTTCCTTTAAAGACGCCTCCAATTGCTGCAGGCCAATTCTGCTCTCTCCCTTAAAACGTTAACTGTGTCTTTTGACACTTGTCCTTGGAAAAAGTCCAAATGTGGCAAATGGTAGAAGCAACATTTCTTTACCCTCCTGCCTGGAGCTTCCCATGATGTGGATGAGTTGTAGCTAGAACTTTTATGGGTGGAATGAGGAAGTCAGCTACTCCAGCTACTCTCCACAACCCTTACCATTGTCTGTAGATGAAATACRTAAACATACAGTGAGATTGTGGAATTCACCATCAAAATCCTCTCATTTGATTGGAACTCCTGAAAGGTTCAGAACCAATCAGGCTGCACAGTAGCAGCTAAAGCAGACTCATTGCCATTAAAAATATTCTTAGAAATGTGCATGTGGGTATACGTGTATGTGTGTGTGTGTGTGTGTGTGTGTGTGTGTGTGTGTGTGTGTTTCTAGCAGATACTTGGGAGAAGAGGAGAAACTTAAATCTGGAACCATATTTTCATTTTTGTAGTCACATGTTGAGACATTGAAAACACAATGATGTCTCCCTCAGTTCAATTAAGCTGGTCTGAAAAACAAAATTGTCCTTAGGAAGGGGGAGAAATCCATTTATATTCCTTCTGAGGCAAGGAGGGAGGTCTTTCTGGCAAAGTCTTTATGTTCCATCCAGGACCAGGAAACTTAATCGTCAAGTTCAAAGCTCATTTCGTCATTGAGTACAGGGCGTGCTGACTTCCTGTGCCGGGAATATTTCAGGTGCAGGAGATCACCCATTTCATCAAGGGCTTCCAAAACCTGCAATGAGATTGCCTTCCGTCAGTTATCTTTAAACCCCTAAGTGGCTCTGCGTTGCAAAGCYCAGATTAATGACAAGCTTCACAAAGACTCAGTCTAATTTTGCCAGCTCCTTTGATTTTAAAGAAAAGGAGCAAGATCCATATCGTCAGGTTGTGGTTTGTAAGTCCTAGAGGAATGTTAGATGCTAATTCATTTTATTTAATGGCCTAACTCCACATTATGAATGTTTATTTTATTTGAGGAATGTGAGGAGAGGAATAAAAACAGCTGACCCATCTAAAACCTTTAAGGATTTATTTAAAATTTAATGACTTACATATAACCTTGTGGAAGAAAAAGATAAGGTTGCAGAATCCATTTGAGGTGTGTCTTCATGACACAATAAACTAATCTGGCCAAGAACAAAATGGAACATTGTGGGAGCTAATTAGCATCACCCTCAGTCCTCCCATGCTTTAACTCTCCCCCCAACCCCTGTTTTTAAAAACGCATCTCTTTCATTTCCACATTCCATGGAATAATGCAACTTAAACCCACAAGGATCCAACTCATTGGCTGKCTAGATATTTATAAATTTCTGTCTATCTATATTTATAATAATGGTATTGAGCACACCTTTCCAATCTTTCTGACTTATTTTATTTTATTTTTGGTGCTGGGGATCAAACYCAGGGCCTCAGGCATGCTAGGGAAGCCTTCTACCACTGAACCACATCCATAGCCCTAAGCCTGTATTTATTAACCTGCCAAATAAGGGAGAAAAAAAAACAATATTAGGATCTACTCTATAAAAGTGAGAGTGCAAATTATTAACATTAAAGTGAATGATTAATGAGGCTTATGAACTTTCCTGTTTGAGAAGTCTTTCAAACTAATAGCAGCTAAAGTATTCACTAACATGTTAAGAGAAATTTATTTCTTGTTGATAAGGTTATGTGGTTTAAAATGTTCTTTCCTATTTCTTCTAAATTTCTTACATCAAATATATATACTAAGAAAAAGCAGCAAAAGTTGTCTTTTAAATGACTTTTTATTTAGGGTAGTTTCTATTGATCTTTGCAGATGGTCATGGGATAGTTCAGAGATTTGTATAGAGGAGTACCTGTGCTCTTGTGGGATATATGTGACAATTTTGGAGAACATGGGACGAAAATATTAGGCGTTTCATTCATTTTTATCTTAATATTTTTAACTTCTATTTTTATATCTGTTAAATAATGTACATAATATATTGGGAATGCATACATAAACTATTTAAATAGCTTATGTTAAAGTTCTCTGATCCAAGACTATCTAAAATGCACCCTACTCAAAGACAGGTTTCTTCAGCTTGCTGCAGCATGGGAGAGCAAAGCTCCAGAGCCAAGGACAACTTAATGACCTGAAGTTTGGACGGGCTTCTTATTGCATTTGGTTTTGTGCGTGAGAAGATTTTAAAGCAGCAGAGACCAGCCCAGTTCTGGGTTGGATGCTGTGAAGTCGCAGGAGGAGTTCACCAGCTGGTTATTAATTTATAACCTTTATCAGGCAGGTGGAAGGATTAGGTGAAGCTAGAGCTGTCATCGGAAAAGGAGCAGCTTTCAGTCAGAAAGGGAGAGCGAAATCATTTTGTGTTTTGTCCTAAACATGGTCTCTGGCCTCACTTGGTTTCATATTTTCGATATTCTGTGATGTTTCAGTTGCTGCGTTAAATGCCCTGGCTCTTCAACAGGTCAAATTTCACTTTTTTTCTTAAACTTATATTAAAGAACTGCTCAACATTTTTATGAGATGGATGCATGATCTCAGGAGTTTAGAGCAGTCTGAATAGATGCTGGCTCATTGCTTCTTTCACACCACATATTCCACAGCAATGAAGAACTTTTGAAGAAAAATCACAAGGGTATACTTGAATACTTCAATGCCGTTTGGTCTGCAAGAAATACAAATTAATCTCCTGTTGTCCAATCCTTCCTGTCGCTTCTGGGAGCTTGCTTCCTGKCCATGTCCTCTTGTCTTCTGTACCTGTAGGATTCCCTCTTCACTCTCTTCATCCTTCTATGTGTAAACATGTACATGTCTTTCCCCATCTTCAAAGGCTTTTCTTAGTTCTAATTTCCTCT